TGGAAAAAAGTTCGAAGAAATACCAAAAATATTAAAAAATAAAAAAAAAAAACAAAACAAACACTTTAACCAAAAAAAAAAAAAAAAAAAAAAAAAAAAAAAAAAAAAAAAAAATTAAAAAATAAAAATAATATAATATTTATTAATAATATAATAAAAATATATAATTATATAGATAGCTTAAAAAAAATATTTAAAGTTATATATTTAATAATTTGAATTAAAAAATTTTTACAAATATATAAATTAACAAATTTATTAATTAAAATTCAATGAAATTAATTATTAAAGTTAAAACCAATATAAATATCAATCAATATTTATAAGTTATTTATTAAAAAAAACAAGATTAACTACTTTTTATTATTAATTTTTAGAATTAAAATATTATATAAATTCTTTTTATAAAATAATTATTATATAATATACATTTAAAGATATATAAAAATAATTTTATTTTAAATGTTTAGTTTCTTTTGATTTTAAAGTTATATTTTTTTAATATTATAAAAATATAATAGTATATTTAAAAATGGAAAACAAAATTAAGTCAAAAATTAAAAAATTATTAAATAAAAGTAATATTAAAATTAGAACAAATTCTATAATTCAAATATAAACTTTAATTTTTAACAAAAAATTCAATTTTAAAAATAAATATGTATATGAAATATTAATTATTATAATTTAATTATTAAAAAAAGCAAAGTTAATTAACTTAGTTCTAAAACTCTTATATTTTTTTGTATAGATTTTCAGATTAGAGTATCAATATTTTAATTATTTCAGAAGTTAAATAAAAAAAACTATTTGAAAAATCATTTGTACCAAATTGAAATCAGTATTTACAATAAAGATAAATTTATTTAAAAAACTATTACTCTTTTCAATTTACAAAATATTTATTCTAATAATATTTTAAACTTATATAATTTTATTTTAGCCCTGGAAAGATATTAATTATTTAATATTATAACCAATTCAATTTATATTAAATATAAAAAGAATTGCAATAATTTTTATTATAGATAAGTTAATATCAAATTATAATCTTATTTTGTAAAAGATATTTAATATAATTTAATTATTATATTGTTGGCATTAAAACGGTGAGTCTGTCGCTTGGGGCAGGTCAAACTCACGTAATGTCAGGAATAGATTGTTCTTCTTTTTTCTACTCGAGGTGTGGATTTGACTTAGCCAATCTTGAACCTATAATTAACCTTCTTCTTTCCTTTGTCACTCTTCATCGATTGTTCGAGTCACTATCCCTTTTAGTGACTACCAGAACAATCCTCTCATGGCGACATTACTCTAGAAGAGGAGTTAATTGCCAATTTCCTTTTTAGGCACATCTATCACACCATCACTCATAATAACTGTAATTAACACTCGCACGATCGTTTCGTGCTTCTACAAGAATGGTAATTACATTTATTACTTTTTTGTGTTAAGTAAGTTTCTGTTGTTTCTCTTTTTTTATCCTCACTCTTTTATTTATATCACTATGACTATCTGTTATAGGACTATAACTTTATGACTTATAAACTATCAGACTATAAAATAAACTATTTAAATTTTTCATTACATCATGAGTCTATTTCTAAAGCATTTCCATTACTCTGATTAGGCGTGTTACACGAACGTCGCATTGCCAGGCCTTACTGAAGCAATTTCCCTGCTAACAATATATATATATATATTGATAAAGTTTTGTATCTAATATTTTTTTACAATTAAAAAAAAATAATATTTTAATATAAACTTTTGACTAATTATAAAGAAAACATAATTTATTACAAAAGATATTTTTATTTAACATTAAAATAATTTCAATGATTTATTTTTTCTGATAAATTTAAATTTATTCTTTTTTTAAAAAAATTTTTTTAAGTTAAAGTTTAACAATATTTTATGTTTTAAAAAAAGCTTATAAGTAAACTTATTCTTTTTATTTCAAATATATTTAGATATATTTTTATAATATTTTATTTATCATTTATAAATGATGAGTAAAATTAGAAATAAAATTTATTTGAACGACTGAATCGCCATGTTTTTATCACAACGGTATACAGTATATTGTAATAAAAAACTTTTCTAAATAATTACATGTTATAATATATTTATTTCTAATAGTATACATATATTTGTATTTATTAATAATTAACTGACTAGTATTTATCTGATTTATAACGACCGAATACTCGATTAAAATTTTTAAGCTTGAAAAAATTTTTTTTTTTGAATTATGTAATTTAAATCCGTTAGCAATAATGAAAATACTGTACCAATAATTCGGATGCATTTGGTTTTGCACATCAATTATACTGTAAAGGTAATAGCAATATACAGTATATTACACATGTTTACAATGAGGTGCATCAGGCACTTCAAAATAACAGACCCTAACTTTGTATAATTAACCATATTATTTCTTATTGTTTACGTACTTAAATGTTTACTTCCTTTACCCGTAACCAACAAAAGACCTGATTTTTTCAATGCTTGTGTAGTTCGGGGCTCATATAAATGATAATTATTCAATTTTTTGCACATTATTCTTTCCTTACAGCCAAAGGAATTATTGTTTATGACGGATTCATTACCTAATCTCGTTCTTCATTACAAAAAGTAAAAAGAAACTAAAATTAGCTGTTTTCTTCATTTGATGATGTATCATGATAAAACTCCAAATCAATCTGTACCAATGTAATTTCATGATTTTAACAATAAGAGAAATTGTAGGATACAATGAATACTTTCAGCTATTATAATTCAACCGATTGGAAAAATAATTGTTTCTGTGCTTGTGGAAATCGATTTTCGTGTACAAATTATTCCGAACGCATGTTCTAGTAAATAAATAAAACACGTGAATAATTTTTCGTACTGTAATACAAACGTATTCATGTTTATACAGTAGCACATTGTGATGAGCTTATACACTCTATACAGTACAGTAGAATTAAGTTCTATATTATTACGCAGTAAAATTGATGTTAGAACTATAGTACAATGTTGACAAAACAGGTGCTGTTCGTTTGTTTCCTAATGGTAGTGCTTTGATGCATGTGCAAATGGCTGTTTAGCCTCCATAATAATAGATCTAAGCCGGAGGAATTACTACTGTACATCCATGAGCACAACAGAACGATATACAAAATATTTATTAAACAAGCGCATCAAAAAAAATCAACCTATATAAATCCACCAAGCCTCCTTTGATTTTCACATTCATTTCTTAGAATTTTTCTAAAACGAAAAAATTCATCAAATCTTAAAATAATATACAAGCCTTATTATCCTTTACCTTTTTTATCTAAATTTGCACTATAACAAGTACTTTCTGGTTATCGGATACATCATTTCTTTAAAGTACTGTTCTAATTCTACTTCCAGTTGAGAAACAAGAAAAATACCGAATCTCGTACTCTTATTATTCATTGTCAATAACAAGATCTTATAGAATGTTACATAAATTTTTGAAACGTTGTTCAATCATAAAATTCAAGATTGATCAGTTTTTTCTAAGACTTTTTTACTCTCACCCTCAGAAACCACCTAAAGAAAATCCGCTGTCGTCACCCTCTAGTTCTAAATCTAAATCCTCTGTCACCTCCACCAAAAAGACCAATAAAAATACTTCCCGGAGAGAATTATATCGAATTCATTTTTTTTATAGGCGCAGGAAAAAAGAGAAAAGAAACTCATTTGCATGGAATTTCCTTAGACTCATCATACGACTCGTCACATTCGGTCATGTGGATATTGACAAGAAGTTCAATAAGTCATCTGCTAGTGCTCATGGGTTTCCTTGCTCAATTTGCATGGGGGTTTCCTGCATTAAATCCTCCAGGGTTCAGATCGATCATCGTCCAGTCTCCAGCAGAAGCGGAATGCTTTAAGATAGGATCAACGCATTTAATAAGGTGGAAGAGTACTTTGCCCCCTGATAGTAAGGTTTTTTTTTTAAAAAAAGTTCAATGTTTATGACGGATGAGGTAACGGGTAATAATAAATTCTGTTTTTATTTGTAGCTGAGGTTGTGATTGAGATATTGGCTTCGCCGAGATATGAATTAGAACCCCCTGAAATGGTTTGGAGAACAACTGCTGTTAGTATTTCTCATTTCCTCATCACAAACTATGAATAAATTTTAACGCTTGATTTTCCCATTCGATCTATTATTTACAAAAGAGAGTAAGCGATAAGCAAGTAAAATTCGTAGTTGGTTATTGGTCGTACCTTAATATTTTTTTCGCAAAAGTTTATACACAAGATTACCCAAGAGTATATGGAACTTCTGAACATTTTACCATTTATTCATTACCAATTTCAACGTGATAAAAATGTCCAATCTCACCTGCCAGATTATAGTAACAATAGTAAACGACATTACCTAATTTTAATTATTTGGATAACATTTCATCATTTTAATGATACATACACATGTCTCTTTTATTTTATTTTTAGTAAACATTAAAAAAAAAAAAAATTGTATAACAATAAATATTTCAATTCCGAAAGTTATGTGATTTTTTTTCTCGAAATGTTTTGCAAGATAAACAAGACAATGCCGTGCATCCGTATAAATAATGGTTTTGATCATATTCGTCGTCAGTATATTATATAAATCATTTTTGTTTATATTAGCGATAAATAAATATAAATAGTATAAAATATAAGGTTATAAAAACAATCTATGATTAATTGGGAGCTAATAAGTATTTTTTAAAATATTTGATTAATAAAAAATTTTAATTGATGTAAAGTTACAACATTTCAAATAGTTATACATTTCAAATAATTATTCAATATTATATATTTCAAAAATATTATACAAAAATTACTTGAAAGCAGAAAAATTCGTATATACTGTATATATATATATTTTAAAAAACCTACAATTTAATACTGTATAATAAAAATCAAGTAAAAATGATTGATCTGTTGTATTTTTTTATATTTATAATATGTTGTAAAAAAATTTTTAATTTTTATTATTCATTTTCAAAACTATTGAATGATAAATAATATATTAACATAAAGTCTATAATAAAGTAATTAAAGATATAAATTTCATATAAAAGCATTTTTTTAATATGTTTTTTGTAATTTAATCTAAAAAGAAAATTTTAATTAAAATTTTATAATTATATGAATCTTTGATTTTATAAATTTACCAATTTTTTTTAATTGAATTGATAAAATTTTATTTATAATTTATATTTTGTAAATTTTAAAGTTTTTTTTTTAAAAATAATATTCTTTTAATAAAAAATTATTTTATATTTTATTAATTATTAAATATTAACAATATTTCATTTAATTAATATACAAAAATTTTTTTATTAAATCAAATCAATCATTTATTTATTTATTTAAATTTATCAATAAAATAAAATAATAACTATAAAAATTAACTTTATTCTCTTTTAAAAAATTTTGAACCAATTTTTAAATTCATTAAAACTCAATTGCAATATTATTTAAAATATTTACAATATAAATTTTAAAAGTTTTTTGATAAAAATATAATAATAAAAAAATAATAATTAAAATCTTAAAAATTAAATTTATATTTTTTAATTTATAAATAATATTAATAAAAGAAAAAAAAATTTCTTAATTAATATTAAATTAATATTTTCTAAAATTTTTTGTAATAATATATTATATAATTCAATTATTTTCTATTACTTATTTTTTTGATATTAATTTTAACAATTAATTTTTTAAATTAAAATGTATAAATTTAAATATTATTTAATACTTTTAATAAAACTTAATTACTTTAATAAAAAAAATTAATATATATATAATATTTGATTATTAAAAATTTTTTTTAATTAAAAACGGTCATTAAAATTATTAATAGAGTTTTTTTTTTATATAAACCAAACTATTATTTAAACAATTATTTAATTTATTATTATTATTTAAAAAATTATTTAAGTTATCAAAGTTTATTTTAATTTAATAACAACTTTAATTCAAATATAAAGATCAATAAAAAATCCATTCAATTAATTGATTATATATAATTATAAAATGGTTAATTTAAATAAACATTTCAATATTCTTGTCAAATTAAAACCCTATACTTGATTTTTATTTTTTGAACAGATACAAAAGAAATTGCAAAAGATCAATATAGCTAAAAATTTAATATTCTTAAATATAATATAAAAAGTTTTGTTAATAAACTTTTTCAACTTTTATAATATTTAATTAACTAAACTCTTAATACAATAAATCTATTTTAAATATTCACTTTGCCTTTTCAATGCAATAATGAATAAAATTAACTTTAAATAGTCACCTTCTTCTGTTCTTTTACACAAAATAAATTTTAATACCCATTATATCAAAAGAAATTTATTAATATTGAATGGAACTTTTAAGAAAAATAATATGAAACACAACTTTATTGAATTAATTTGAAATAAAATAATAATAATCTGTATTATTATTTGCACCATTTTCTTAATAATCTATCTTAGAACTATTTAATTTTAAAATATCCTGTACTAGGACCTAGTTAATGTATTTCCTTTACTTTCAAATATCTTTTAATTAGAAATGAATTAAAAACATCTCAATGACTGCCTACCAAGTCTATCTTCCAAACCATCAAAACCTTTTCACGTCTAATCCGAAAATTGTGTGTTGAGATGATTAGCTCTGTAGTGCGAGTAGAACTCCGTAAACAAGTTATCCTCAAAAGTATAGCCCAAAGGTATTATTTAAACCAAGTGTCTCTTTTCTCTTTCTCTTTATTTTTTAGAAGAAAGACGATCGAAATAACATGATTGGACAAGGCTAATTCTTTGAAGGCAATTCTTATATAATTAACTTGGAATTAGAAATTAGCCTCCATTAATCTTTGGTACATGCGACAACTTTAGCTTTAGCTTTTGTCGAACTTTGCTACAACAGAAGGAGGAAAAGTATGCTGTCCACCACCATAACAAAAGAGATATTTAAAATAGCTCAACGAGAATTATAGGAATATTCCGATGCATGGTTTAATAGTATACGAATTAATATGGTTGGCTTAAAGTATTACTACTATATGCTAATAGTAGATGATATTAATTTTTGAAAAAATCCAGCGACAAATGTGAAGAATGAATCTGAGCAAGTAATTCAGATCTCATAATATACAGACACGCGTTTTACTTATTTTTATTGCTATCCGTCAATGCAATAACGACATAATGGATTTAAGGCCTACCTCACAATTGGCTTGGATAGATAATATTCTAATTATTTGTCTATTAGCCAGAAGATACTTCTTTCGAATGGGAAAAACTTTGCGCGAATTCTCTGACAACAAATGTTTGTTGGTAAGAGATGTGTTACATAGCATACTCTTCCAATACTGTGGTATGGTTAGGCTTTAAGATGTTTTTGTGTTCGCGTATTTAGTGATATTTAATTTCGTGATTGTATCTATCCCTTATAGGCATTGAAGCATATTTTAAAAGCACCGTTTAACATATTAAAATCAAGCGGCCTTGAAGGGAAACAATACAGCACACAATTTGTAATTCTCATTTTTAAAAAAATACACAAAGCCGTCTGTGACTCGGATTGGAGAGTATAAGTGAATTCGACCTATCCACTCCGGAAGTATTAATTTTTAACGACTAATATTGTTATTACCTGTTATAGTCTTGAGGTTTTAATCAGAGGCAGCAAATAGCGACGTAATTCTGATTTCAACTTTACATCTAAGATTATAAGTTGGTCAAACTATGTGTAATTTCCTGAATCAACGAATAATTTTTTGTTACAAAAGATCATAATAACTTGACGATTTTTGTGGCTCTGGGACATCACAATGAAATCTTTGCTTTGGTATGATATACCCAAAATCATATTGCTTACATGGATATGGTTGTCTTCGTACGCTGCAATACGGCAATATCCTTCCGTTTTATTCGAGACAATAAAGTCTCGCTTGAAACATTTTGAGCGCTACTTGGAAAATATTATTTCTTTCGCTAATAAATATTTGTGTTCAGTTCTTTATAAAGATTGCATAACGGAAATTGGCAAATAAAAAATGAAATTACTTGAAAACGGTGGTAACGCCAAATACATCAACATCTGAAAGATCAAATAAGCAACATGATCAATTATAAAGACAAAAGAAATAGATGTAATAAAATATGGTTTGGTTTTGGATGATATTTGGTATTACATTATACAATATAATAATTTAAACTTTATATCATCTTTATTTTTATTATATCAAAATTTATTAAATTTTAATTGATTGGTATTATATGTTAGATGTAATCAATAATTTATATCAATAATAATGAAATATTTTTAAAAAATTTATTAAATCAAAACGTATAAGAAAAAACAAATTATTTTATCATCAATATTCTGTAATTTAAAGATTATTATATTTAAGTTTATGATATTATGGTTTTTTTTAAAAAAAATATTATATTCAATGCATATTAATTACAGCTATTGTAAGATTTTTGATGAAAAAAATATTTTATAATCATTGTTTTAAAAAATTTTGGTTGTAGTAATCTTAAGTGATAAATAAATAAATTAATTAATTAATTTATATTTTACTTTTAAATATTTGATCCAATGTTGTATTAAAAAAAACATGTTTGTCAATAATAAATAAGATTCATGTACATTTTTGGAAATATCCAACGTTTTTTGTTAAAGAGTTTCACGCTATGTAGCACAAAATAAATTTTGATTTATCCATTGATATCCCATCAAATTTGTAAATAGCACATAAGAATAATGAACTCGCTGAATGGTGTTTTCGCCCAGTTGATCCTATTTCTGAATTACGGCGTTCCTTTCGAATTTATATGATATGTTTATGTCTCAAATTTATATACCCTTTTCAAACTTATTTTACTTTCTTAAACAAAATTTTAATCAAATTTCAAACTATTCCCATCATGTATATACGTCTATTTTCGATCAATTCAATCAACTTCTTTCACCAAAAATTCCGAGAAAAATAACCATATTTGTTGTGACACTAACAGGAAAGTTAGTTACTCTGGACGTTCAAACAAACTACACTATTTATCAAGTGAAGCGACAAATATTCGACGCAGAAGGAATTCCCGTTCACCATCAAATTCTTACTTATAACGAAAGAGTACTCGAAAATAATCGAATTTTGGAGTATTACGGGATCCAAGATAATGTTACATTGTTGGTAAAAAAGGTCGACATAAAAAACGTGACTCAATATGTCATTGATCCCCAAAGTTTAGATCCCAAGTACAATTACGATTTCACTGATGTCAAAGATAGTGGATTAAAATTCATGCGGGGAAAATTTGAGTATCGACGCCCAATTGGTTGGAAACGTTATGCAATCAAAGTACGTGGAAAGTACGAGAACGACGCTTGGTTAGGCAAAGATACTTTTAGAACAGAATCGTGCAAGAACGAATGGCCAGTATCATACCATGGCACGGCTTATCACAACGCCAATTCCATTGTTAATGATGGGTATTTATTAAGTAAGGGGAAGAATTTTGCATATGGTCGTGGAATTTATTCGACTCCTGATATTAAAGTTGCAGAGAAGTACGCCACAGAATTTACATTTAAAGGAGAGACTTACAAATTGATTTTACAGAATAGAGTAAATCCAAAAAGTCTAATACCAGTAAAGACCTATGTGGGAGAGTATTGGATCTCACCAAAGGGTGAGGATTTAAGAGCGTACGGGATTTGTATTAAGAAAAAGGAGTCGTTCTTTTCAAAAATTTTTCGTACTGGTAAACAGGAACCAATGATGTTAGAAGAGTCTATTAAAGTATCAAATAGTTCTAGTGCAAATTAGTTTTATCGACAGATTTCTTTCCCAAGTGTATGTTTTATTCGAATTTTGTCAATAAAATTTATTACACTTAGAATTTACAAATTTTAATATTTGCAATAAAGTAATATACTGTATATATTGTAACTATTATAAATTTTAATACATGTGACTTGTTTGAATTAAAAATATGCGAACAAATTTATTATGTAATAATATATATATGTTCATTTTAAAAATGACAAAAATTAATTTAAAACCATAAAACTTTTTATAAATTTTTTATGGTTGTTTTAAAAAACAAACAAAATAACTGTAAAAGTATATTGATTAAACAATATTTTTATATTTGTTTTTATTTTTTGCTTATCATCTTAAAACAATAACAATGATTTTTATTGAATTAATTTTATTATTGATTTTTTTCAAATAGTTTTTAATCAAAAAAAGAAAAAAATCTATTATAATATACTGTATAAAGGAGAAAGTAATAAACATAAATAATTTTTTTGCAAAAATTAAATTTATAAAATTAATTGATTTACAAAAAAATAATTAAATATAAGTATCTAATATTTAGGTAACAATTATTTAAATAATAATTTGTATTAATGATTTTTATAATAAAATAAAATATTTTCATTTATAATTTAATTTTAATAAATTTAAAATAACCTATTAAAACATTATTATTTAAAATTATATATTTAAATATGTTATTTTTTATAAGAAAACAATATTAAATATAGATTTTTATTATATATTTTTAAAATATCTACAACTTAGATATATCAAACATTCTCCATAATACTGTAATTATAACTAAATGCTAGCCTATTTACTGCTATATCCAACAATATGCTCTATACTCTATAAATGATTTATATATATTTAAAAGACTTATCTAGAAAATAAAAATCCTATTACTAGTTTTAAACCATCTAATCTATCAATTCAATTTTTGTATATACATTATAATTGATTGACTACTGATTATCTTATATAAGTTACTTATCACATTTCACCTTTTTACTAATACAACTATAGTTTCAAAAAGGTCTTTAATATGTATATACACTTTTTAATAAATGCTCTTGATATTAATCTGTTAATTAATAATGTAGCTATCAAATTTAAAAATATATAATCAAGTAAAGTATAACTTTATAAGAATATATTTTTACTCTTCTAGTAGACACTTCATATTACCAGTAACTATATTGGCTTTAATTGCCAAATCCAAGGATATAAATATCAAGTAAAGCATAACTTTTATATATTATAAAAATATTTAATACCATGAAAATAATTATATATTAGTATTAATTTAATATTCTTTTTCAAAATTTCTTACTTGGTTATTAACAGAAAAAAAAAATTAACAACTTGGAATTAATTAAAATGAAGTATAATTCAATCTATATTTTCAAATATATAAGTAAATTTTGATTATTCTGACAATTATCATAATATCTATTGGATATTTGCTATATTACTATATCTTATTAAAGAGATTATAATCTTAATATCTACTGAATTAATATATAAAATAGCTTTATATAAAAAATAGCACTTAACAAGTTATAATACCAAATACCATATAAGTTCTATTCAACTGTCTTAATTTGAAATTGAATCAATATTTGTAATCTGATCTGTAAAATATTAATTACTGTACTATAGACTTACAAGTTTATTTAAATATATTATTTCTTAAATAATAAATGTTTTTTTTTATAATTAAAATTTTTTAACTAAAATTTATTTATTATTTATTTTTTTAAATAATTAAAATAGGTTTTAAATAATATTAGCTTTAATTATATATTATCTATTGATAATATTTATTTTTTATTTATTTAATAAAAATTTAAAGTTTCATTATAAATACAATTTTTTATTTTTAAAATATATATTTTTAATAAATATTGATTTTAAATAAATTTAAATTTTTTTTAAATTAAAATACATATAATTTATAAGCAGTTTTATAAAATTATTTGTAAAAAATAAAATTTTTTGAAGAATTTTTTTCCATATGTAAACATTATTTCTTTATTTTATTTGTATAAAATAAAAAATATATTATAAAAATAACAATATCTTTTATATATAAAATATAATAAGTTAAAAAACTTATATTATATCAATAATTAAAAAAAAAACTCTTTCTCAATCGCATCAAAATTACCAAATTAGGAAACACTCAAGAAAACAAAAATTTCGTCTCAAGGAAAAAA